CCTCCAGCGCCGCCCCTGGCGCGCTCCGCGCGCCAGGGAGGGGGGTCCAGCGCAGACTCAAGAAATCTGCGCGGATCGCCAAAAGTTTATGTTTATGGCGTTTTTGTTCTTCCTCTACAGCGGGCACGCCTCGGGCAATCGCTCCGTGGGCAGGCAGGCCCCAGCCCCCGACCAGGATCTGGAGCGACGCGCGCGCGACGCAGCACGCACGGCGGAACCGCCATGTGGTTCGCCCCCCAGCCGCTCACCCGAGGGCGGGGGGCGCTGGTCGCAGTGCAGCAGGAGGACCTCCGCGACGGGCAGAAGGCCGTCGCGGCCATGGACCTCCTTCGCCGAGAAGCGGCTCTGGGCAGGCTGGTGGAGCGGCAGTGCCGCTCGGTGGCAGGCGAGCGGACTGCCCTGCTGCCACCGGCATCGGCCCCGAGGGGGGAGGAGGAGGAGGAGGAGGAGGAGGAGGAGATGGAGGAGGAGGAGGAGGAGGAGGAGGAGGAGGAGATAGGAGGAGGAGGGAGGAGGAGGAGGAGAGGCGGAGAGGAGGAGGGAGGAGGAAGAGGCGGAGGAGATGGCGAGGAGGAGGAGGAGGAAGAGGAGGAGGGAGGAGGATGAGGAGGAGGAGGAGGAGGAGGAGGAGGAGGAGGAGGAGGAGGAGGAGGAGGGGAGGAGGCGGAGGAGGAAGAGGAGGAGGAGGAGGGGCGAGGTAGAGAGGAGGAGGAGGAGGAGGAGGGAGAGGAGGAGGAGGAGGAGGAGGAGGAGGAGGAGGAGGAGGAGGAGGGGCCGCTCCCGCCCGGCTCTTCCGCGGCGGGGGCGGCGCAGCTGCGCCAACCCGCGCCTGCGGCGGCGGCCCCAGCGCTGGGCGAGCGAGCGGTCCGCCCGGCTGCCCTGCTGCCGCCGCCCCTGGGGGCCCTGGTCGCGGCGTCAGCCCGCGCGGGTGTTCCAGTCAGGCCACGCTTCGGGGGAGAAAAAGATACGGATACGTGTCGTCCCCCTTCGTTTTCGGCCTTTCCTGGTCCTCCTGGGGAATCCCCGTTGTCACCGCTGGATTCGCCTCGAAATTCTGGTCAGAACGCACCCCAAGAGAGGTCCGGGGACAACACGTATCCGTATCTTTCCGCCCCCCAACCTGGGCTGAGGCAGGGCTGGACCTGAGCGCTGCCTTGCTGGACTTCGGCCGTGCTCTGTTTCTCTCCGTTTCGGCAGGGAGGTGTTCTGGAGAACGGGCAGCGCGACACGAAACACAGAACGAGAACAAAACGACGAACAACGTCTAGGTCCAGCCCTGGGCTGCGGGGCGTGGCCAGGGGCGGCTGCGCTGCCTCGTCGCTGCGAGCACCATCGTCCGCTGCGGGCACGCCCCCGCGGGCCACCCTGCGAGCCGTCGCGGCTGCGTCCCGGCCTGGCTGCCCCCTTCCGCGCCCTGCCCAGACCGAGCGGTCGGCGTCTCGGCCGAGGCAAGAGCGGCGGGCCAGGTCCATCCGCAGGGCTCCGGAGACGCGCAGCGGCCCGGGCCCAGGCGGCCACGTCGGACCTCGCGGAGGGGCAACAAAGCCTGTCGGGACGAAATAAAAAGCGAGGAGAGTACAGCTTCTCCTCAGTAGGGCCCCTCAGAGCGAGGCTGGAGGGGGGAAGCGCCTGTAGGCCGGGAGTGCCTTGAGGCGCGCCTGTAGGCGAGGAGGGAGGCAATGCCTATAGGCAGGGAGGACGTACAGGCGTGTCTGTAGGCAGGGAGGGAGGGAGCGCTTGTAGGCTGGGAGTGCCTTCAGGCGCGCCTGCAGGCGAGGAGGGAGGGAGTTCCTATAGGCAGGGAGGGCCTTTGAGAGGCGTGCTTGTGGCCAGGGAGGGAGGGAGCGCCTGTAGGCTGGAAGTGCCTGTAGGCCAGGAGTGCCTTTAGGCGCGCCTGTAGGGAGAGGAGGAGGAGGAGGAGGAGGAGGAGGAGGAGGAGGAGGAGGAGGAGGAGGAGGAGGAGGAGGAGGAGGAGTAGGAGGAGGCCTGCAGCTGCGCCCGTGAGCTGCGCCTCGCGCCCTCGCGACATGTGCCGCCTGCGCGGCCGTCTTCGCTCCACCCCGCGCCGTCTGGCTTGAGGCCTCCTGGATGGGGTCCGAGTACGATCGGGCCTACAGTCTGCGAAAAAAGTTGGACATGAAATTGTCCAGTATTCGGAAGGCGAGCGTCGCGACACCCTCATCGTCACCATCATCGTCATCATGACCATCACCAACGCCACCACCACCAGGAAGAGGTGGGGAGGCGGGAGGGAGGGAGGGGAGGATGGACTGGACAGAAGGGAGGGAGGAACGGAGGAGGGGAGGGAGGGAGGAAAGGACGTGGGAGGAGGGGAGGGGGACGGGGGAGGGACGAGGAAGAGGACGAGGAGGAGGCAGGCGGGGGGAGGAGGCGCAGGGAGGGGAGGAGCCGGCTGGGAGGGGGGAGGAGGCGGCAGGGAGGGGGGAGAAGGAGGCAGGACCGACCACGCGCGGCGCCCAGGCTCCGCGCCAGACGTCGGCCGTGGCGACCGCTCCCCCAGCGCGGGCGGCGCCGCCGTGGCGCTCCACCGCAGGGCGGCGCCGCGCGCGGCCTCCCGTCGTCGTCTCGTCGGGCTTCCGCGTTCCTTCGCCGCTTCCCCTCCTCCTCTTCCTCGCCCTCCCTCCTCCTCCTCCTCCTCCTCCTCCTCCTCCTCCTCCTCCTCTTCCTCCTCCTCGTCCTGTTTCTCGTTCTCCTCCTCCTCCTCCTCCTCCTCCTCCTCCTCCTCCTCCTCCTCCTCCTCCTCCTCCTCCTCCTCCTCCTCTCTCTCTCCTCCTCCTCCTCCCTCCTCTCCTCCTCATCCTCCTACCTCCTCCTCCTCCTCCTCCTCTCCTCCTCTCCTCCTCCTCCTCCTCCTCCTCCTCCTTCCTCCTCACCTCCTCCTCCTCCTCCTCCTCCTCCCCTCCTCATCTCCTCCTCCCCTCTCTCCTCCTCCTCCCCTCCTCCTCCTCCTCCTCCTCCTCCTCCTCCTCGTCCCGCCGCAGGGGCGGGGGTGGCTGCTGGTTGGAGGCGACGCTAGTGGAGGAGAGCACTCGGCCAACGCAAAGCTGAGGCGCGTTGGATGGGATTTTGCGGTTGTTGACTGCGAGTTCGGCGACGTCGACGGCGTCCACCAGCTCACCTCGGTTGCGTCCCCCTTCGGGCGTGGAGGCGGCCTGGCGGGACCGAGGCAGACGATCAACCGCGGAGAGACCCGGGCGCTCCTGGCTGCGCTGGTGGACCTGCAGTGCCTGGGCGCGGGGATCACCTACGTCACTGACTCCTCCTACGTGGTGAGGGGGTTCGGGAAGATCGTCCGGGGCGTCCTCCCGAGGACGAACATTGATTTGTGGCAGAAGATCAAGGAGGCGCTGCAGGGTGCGCCTCACTTGCTCTCGACTGCCGTGGTGAACATCGAGAGCCACTTAGACCAGGAGGTGGCGGAGGCGCGCGGCGTGCCACCGAATTGGTACGTTGCCAACCAGATCGCGGATGAGCTGGCGGGCGACTGGGCGTCGCGGGTCCAGGTGCCTTCCAGCACGGTCACCAGCTCGGAGATGGCCGAAGCGATCGGGTCCACGGTGCGCACGCATCTCACGATGGCGTTCCTGAAGGCCTCGGAGGCGGAGCCGCGCCGCATCAAGCCCACGGGGCATCAAGCCGCGCCGCATCAAGCCCTCGGAGGCGAAGGCGGAGCACCGCGGCTTCAAGGTGAAGTTGGCGCTGTCGGAGCACGAGCTGAGCGGCCGTGTGGGCTCGAGCTTCCAGTGCAAGGGGTGCGGCTGCAGCGCGAGCGGCCCGCGGATGGAGGTTTTTCTTGCCACGCCATGCCACAAAGGCGTCCTGCAAGGAGTCCAGATGGTGGGCCAGGGCAAGACCACCGTGTAGGGGGTGGAAATCCACTCGTCCCATTTGCTGGGGTATTGGCCCGACCCCAAGACCCATGTTTGCCTGAAGTGTGGACACGTTGGGCGCGTGTTTCTTCGTGGACTGGCCCAGCCATGCGGCGAGCACTTGGGCCACTATGGGGTGCAGACGCTGCGCAAGCTGGCGTGCGGAGTGCTGCCTAAGGAGGGGCTCTGTCCGTACGGCCAGTCCGGTTCGTCGTGCCGCCGTTCCTGACGTGGGCGTGCTTCGGCGTCTTCGCGCGGCCCGCACGTGCAGCAGCTCGCGGCCTCCGCGTGTGTCGCCATCCTGAGGCCGAGGCTTGCTGCGGGGACGTGGCCGTCCCTCTCATTTTTCTTGCGCCTGACCTGTGCCGCCTCCCTGGCCTCGGCTTCGGGCGGTAGGGTTGCGAATGGCCCTGCAGCGTACAAAATTATTCACTGCGTGGAGCTCCCCATATGTGCATCTACTCGCATGGACCTGTCCGCCGTGAATGTCTAGGCGCAAGAGCTTTCGAATATTTACGGGCTTCAATTGTGACGGTCTGGACATCAATCTAACTGCGAATGAATTGGAGTGTGAATGAGCCTCAGTAGTACGAGCGCGTCTCTGTGCGTGAGCCTGGGGCCTCCTGGGGCCTCCTGAAATCTACTGGGGCTTCCTGGGGTCTCCAGGAGCCTCTTGGGACCTCCTAGGACCTCCTAGGAAGGTTTCGTGCCCCAGGAGAGGCGCAATCTATAGCAACAGACGTACATAAAACATTGCGGATTAGAGCCACAGGAGAAGGGCAATCTATAGGAACACGCGTAAAACACCAAGGACTCGTGCCCCAGTAGGGGCCCAATATATAGGAACATGAGTAAAACAGTTAGGATTGTGTACACAGGAGAAGGACCATCTATAGAAACATACGTAGAACATCAAAGAATCGTGCTCCAGGTGAGGCCCAATCGATAGGAGCATACGTAAAACACATGGGATTGGAGCCACTCCTGTTGCCTTCTGAGGCCTCCTGCTCCTGGGGCCTCTCGGGGCCTCCTGTTGCCTTCCGAGGCCTCCTGGCGATTTCTGTTGCCCCTGGGCCTCCTGTGGTTTCCTGAGGCCTTCTGGAGCTTCCTGGGGCCTCCTGGAGCCTCTTGGGACATCCTGTGGCCTCTTGATCTTTCTGTGGCCTCCTGATGCCTCCTGGGACCTCATGTGGTCTCCTGGGGCCTCCTGGAGCCTGTTGGAGCCTCCTGTGGCATCCTGAGAAGAATCTGCGCCCACGAGCCTGGCCACCAAAACAGGCAAACCGATCGAGACATCCTCAAAATCTGGCCCACCTGGGGGGTGAAAATGAGCGCCTCGCTCGAGACATCCTCCAAATCTGCTCCGAAAGCGAAGGATGTTGAGCCCAGAAACAAGCAAACCGCCTGAGACATCCCCACAACATGGCCGCGAACGAGCCCGTGCAACCACCCCTGGCGGCTCCCCTTAGGGCCACGAGCCTGGCCACCAAAACAAGCAAACCGATCGAGACATCCTCAACATCTGGCCCACCTGGGGGGTGAAAATGAGCGCCTCGCTCGAGACATCCTCCAAATCTGCTCCGAAAGCGAAGGATGTTGAGCCCAGAAACAAGCAAACCGCCTGAGACATCCCCACAAAATGGCCGCGAACGAGCCCGTGCAACCACCCCTGGCGGCTCCCTTTAGGGCCACGAGCCTGGCCACCAAAACAAGCAAACCGATTGAGACATCCTCAAAATCTGGCCCACCTGGGGGGTGAAAATGAGCGCCTCGCTCGAGACATCCTCCAAATCTGCTCCGAACGCGAAGGATGTTGAGCCCAGAAACAAGCAAACCGCCTGAGACATCCCCACAAAATGGCCGCGAACGAACCCGTGCAATCACCCCTGGCTGCTCCCCTTAGGGCCACGAGCCTGGCCACCAAAACAAGCAAACCGATCGAGACATCCTCAAAATCTGGCCCACCTGGGGGCTGAAAATGAGCGCCTCGCTCGAGACATCCTCCAAATCTGCTCCGAAAGCGAAGGATGTTGAGCCCAGAAACAAGCAAACCGCCTGAGACATCCCCACAAAATGGCAGCGAACGAACCCGTGCAATCACCCCTGGCGGCTCCCCTTAGGGGTGCTGAAACGAGCGCCCCGCCTGAGTCATCCTCCAAATCTGATGTGTGTTGAGTAAGTCTGAGTATGAGTAGGTCTGAGTATGAGTATGCCTGAGTATGAGTATGTATGTGTATGAGTAAGTCTGTGTATGAGTAAGTCTGGGTATGAGTAGGTCTGTGTATGAGAAAGTCTGTGCATGTGTACGTCTGGGTATGAGTAAGTCTGAGTATGACTAATACTGTGTATGAGTAAGTCTGGGTATGAGTGAGTCTGTGTATGAGTACGTCTGGGTGTGAGTAAGTCTGTGTATGAGTAAGTCTGTGTATGAGTATGTCTGAGTGTGAGTAAGTCTGAGTATGAGTAGGTCTGAGTATGAGTAAGTCTGAGTATGAGTAAGTCTGTGTATGAGTAAGTCCGACAGGAGGGGAGGGAAAAGAGGAGGAGGGAGGAGAGGAGTAGGAGGCGTCCAAGTAATAAACAAGAACCCCATCTTAGGATATGGGAAATACTCCTCCTCCTCCTCGTCCTCCTCCTCCTCCTCCTCCTCCTCCTCCTCCTCCTCCTCCCTCTCCTCCTCCTCCTCCTCCTCCTCCTCCTCCTCCTCCTCCTCCTCCTCCTCCTCCTCCTCCTCCTCCTCCTCCTACTCCTCCTCCTCCTCCTCCTCCTCCTGTTCGGCAGGAGGCCAGCCGGGGCTTCCGCCGCCCGATCGGGTGTCGAGGCCGCGGTTAGGAGGGGCGTGATTTTTGTCCGTACTATCGTTGTCATTATCCTCCTCCTCTTCCTCGTCGTCGTCATCATTATCCTCGTCGTCATTATCACCCTCATCCTCGTCCTCATCGTCATCCTCGTCCTTCTCCTCCTCCTCCTGCTCCTCCTCGTCCTGGTCCGTATCCTCCTTCTTGCGTTAGGCAGAATTTGAGAGGAGCTCGTAGCGTCGTTCCTTCTCCTCATCCTCCTCCTCCTTCTCCTCCTCCTCGTCTCGTCTCGTCTCGTCTCGTCCTCTCTCTACTCTCCACTCCTCCTCCTCCTCATCATCCTCATCCTCATCATCCCCTCGTCCTCCTCCTCCCCTCCTCCTCCTCCTCCTCCTCCTCCTCCTCCTCCTCCTCCTCCTCCTCCTCCTCCTTGTCCTCCTCTTCCTGCTCCTCGGACCTCGGACCTGGTGGCATGGGTACCGCAATCAAGGGCGCTGCCATGTCCCGCCGCTCCCCCCCCCCCTCCCCGTGACCTTCGCCGCCGGACGGGGGGACAGGGTCTGAGCAAACCAAACCAGAGCGTGGCAGTGTAGAGGGCAGCCGCAAGTTCCAGTTCCTCCTCCTCCTCCTCCTCCTCCTCCGCCTCCTCCTCCTCCTCCTTCCCTCTGGCCGGCCCCCCCCCCTCCTTCGCTTCTCTGCCCCCCGCCCCCCCCCTTCCGCCCCTCCCTCCCCCTGGCAGGCTGCGAAGCGTCCATCCTAGCGCGGCTGTGTGCAGCAGCCAGGTCTGCCCGAGATGCCACGATCCTTGCCGCAGCTGCGGCGCTCGGGGTCCCCGCCGCGCAGGGGAGCCGAGCCCAGGGCTCCTTCGCTCGCCCTCCTCTCGTCCTCCTCCCTCTCTTTCCGGAGGGGGAGCTTCGGAGGAGGAGGAGGAGGAGCTTCGGAGGAGGAGGAGCAGGAGGAGGAGGAGGAGGAGGGATGAAGATCGACTCGGGGGGCTCCGGGAGGCCCTGCGCAGGGCGTCTCGTGGGTACCGTCACAAGCTTTTCGGGGGGGTAGCTTGGTGTTCTGCTGTTTCGGGGGAGTGCCGTGGGCCAAGTATTCCCGCACGGAGTGGCGTTGCCGAGCTTTTTTGGTAAGTTCGGCGCGAGTGACCTTGCGCACATCTCAAGCGACGTGACAGCAACTGACCGATCATCGAGCCCAGTATCACGTATACGTTCCAAGTTTGACTTATGATCCAAGTCAGAGGTTGGGGGAGATTATGTCCGACCCGCTGATTGGGACTTGCAATGTGGTACTAGTATTGTTCTCGGATCAATCATGTTCCTCGCCCTCGTGTTATGTGTCCTGCGCATACGTGTCCTGCGTCATGTGTCCTGCGCATCCACAGTCAACCTTGACAGTAAGGGCTCTAACGATTCCCCAAGATTGGTTACCGTTGCATCCTTCCCCTTCGGTCCACCCTCGGCCACTTTCGCTGGCCGCGCCCCGCCAGCAAAGTGTCGGCATGGCCTTCGGCCCTTGCATCCTCACCGCGCGTTCTTGCTATGCGGGTGGACTGTGGTTGCTCTCTCGCGTTCCTCTGCCCCTGCCTCTTCCAGTCCTCCTGGCCTTCGTCGTCCTTTTTTCTCCTCGTCGGCGTCGTCCCCTGGTCCTCGCTCTTTTTCCGTCACGGTCTCAGGAGGGGAAAATACACACACACCATGAATCGTCGATTCCCCGGAAAATATGGGACAATGTGGGATGTGGGGGGGAAGAAACCCAGAACATGCGGGAAACTATGGGACATCCCGTTATGTGTGTCTATTGGTTCGTGTGTCCCAGGGCCCCCTCAACGGTCGCCCTCCTCGTTCGAATCATCGTCCTCTCAGGCTGCGGTGGCCGTGGTGACCGCGCTGGTCGTGGGCTCCGCCGCCGCCTCGGAGGGGCGAGGGGCGCGTCACGCGGGGTGCGGGCGACGGCTCCTGGTGCCACGCCTCGCAGGCTGTGCTGGGTTCGTTTTCCACCACCACCACCACCATAAGCTATATGGGCAAGGGGATCCTCCTCCTCCTCCTCCTCCTTCTCCTCCTCCTTCTCGTCGTCCTCCTCCTCCTCCTCCTCCTCCTCCTCCTCCTCCTCCTCCTCCCCCTCCTCCTCCTCCTCCTCCTCCTCTTCCTCCTCCTCCTCCTCCTCCTCCTCCTCCTCCTCCTCCTCCTCCTACTCGTTCTCCACCTCCTTCCCCCCTCCAACTTATGGTGGTGGGGGCGGAAAACATGCCCATCAGGCTGTACTGGCTCCTACCTGTGATGAGTGTGAGGCGGAGGGGCGAGAGGAGGAAGAGGAGGGAGAAGGGGGAGGGGGAGGAGGAGGACCACGAGGATGGAGCCCCGAGGTCGATGGTGATGATGGTGATGATGATGATGATGATGATGATGATGATGATGATGATGATGATGATGATGATGATGATAATGATGATGATGATTTTGCTGATGCTGAAGAAGAGGATATGGATGATAATGTTGATGACGATGGTGATGCTGATTGAAGATGCTGATGATGAACATCATGAGGAGGAGGATGAGGAGGAGGCGGAGCAGGAACAACATCGATGATGTATGGGACGGGAGAGTGAGGAACAGTGCCAGAAAGAGGATGACGAGGAGGAGGCGGAGGGGGGGATGTTGAGGAGGAAGATGTGGTGGAACGGTGGAAGGGAGGAAGCGGGATAAGGATGGGGATTGGGGCATCAGAGTGAGTTTGGAGAGTGAGGAGCATAAAGGTGGAGTGAGTAGGGAGGATGTTGAGGCGGAGGGAGGAAGATGAGGGAACAAGGACAGATGTGAAATAGTTGAGAGGGTGAGCATTGGCCTGCCTTGCATTACATTGTATCCTTGATGTTGTATGGCAGCTGCTGACCATTGATTCGCATTGCATGCCAGTGCTCTGCGTTGCATATGTTTGATTTTGAATGCAGTCATTTGCGTTGCGCTGGTTCGTTTTGCCGTTCGTGGCGTTGCTGTGTAAAGCGCTGCAGATGATTGCACGGTTTGTTTTGTACCACATTGTTGTGCATTGTCGTGTACCGTTTTGTCATGTCATTTCGCTGCAATGGCGTTGCATTGCGTTGCTTCGCAACGCATCGAGCTGTGATGATTTGCATTGCGCCGTGTTGCTGTGCATGGCGTTGTGTTGCTTCTCGTGGCGTTGTTTAGGAACGCACTGTAACGCACCGCGTGGTTTTGTACATCGCTCATCTGCATCGCATTGCAGTGCGTTCGCGACGCAAACCACCGCATTGTCGTGCATTGCGAGTCCTTGCGTTGCATCGCCTCGCTCCGCTGCGCTGCATTTGCTTAGCATCGCTGTGCTGTACAACCAAGTGCACCGCAACGCAACATGACGCAGTCGCGATTCAACGCGTTGCAGTGCATTGTGCCCAACGCAGTTGCCCGCGGCTGCGACGGACAATCCACATGAAAGCGACGCAACGGATTGTTAAGCTGATAAATCACGGCAAAGGACACCACCACAAATTCAACCAAAGCCAAGACACTTTGTCTAAAGAAAACGGTACCACGCACGCCAATCCAGTCATAACGCTTTGCCGCGCGTGGCAAAGACAACAACCCAACACAAGGCACTTCGAAACAAAGCAACACATCGCCGTAAGTTGTGCGATGTATGAGCTTGTCTCAGCTTGATCCCAGCTGCAGCTTGCCTCAGAACTCTCTCCAAGCAGATGGGTGCCAAGTTTTCGCCACATGTGCCCCACGGACTCGGAAGACGCGCGGCGCATCTCGAAGCTTCGAAGCTTCCAGATGGGACTTGATTTTCGAATTGGGCACTTGAAGGTGTAGAGTCGGACATTGAATGCCCTGGATGGGGCAATAGTCGCCCCCTCCCTTGGAACCGCTGGGGGGGGGTTGGGCACGTGCTGTCGGGATGGGCGGAGGGGCGTTGGAGGAAGAGACGAAGGAGGAGGGGGAGGAGGATGGAGGGGGGCGGGATTGGGCGAGCTACATCGGAAGGTTGACCGCCCCCCCCTTGAGAAATACCCCATCCAGGGTATGCCGCCTCACGGCGGTGTCAGAGCTCATGGGCGGGCTCATGCCTTGAGCCCTGGGGCCCCGAGCCCCCACGGACGGGGGTTCCGCTCCGATGTTCCTGCGGCTCCTCTTTCAGTCAGGCACGCTCCTCTACAGGAGGAGCATCCAGAAATAGCAAACCGAATGCTTGGGGAGGATGTTCCGATTAGTTTGTGACTATGTGGGGGTATTGTTTTTTTCTAGCTATTTTTCTAGCTATTTTTTCTAGCTGTTGTCTTCCAAAATCCTTCTGTAGGAGGACAAGTCCGACCCAAGGCTTCTCTCGAGCCGGGTCGGCCCTGCGGGCTCTGACGCTTGACGCGGGGCGGAGCCGCCCGTCGCGTTCGTTGTTGTTCTGTTTGGTCCGTGTGAGTGTTGCACCGTGGCACAGAGGTCACGTCTTGACTCACAGGTGTGTACCCCAGATTTCGTAATAAAGGGAGGGGGGTCTCATTTCGGGGGGGGTCTCTTCCAGGCTATCTTGGAGGGCCTGGGGGGGTCTGGGGACGATGTTTTGGAGGGTTCTCCCACGGGGGGGGTCTGAAATGGCTTGTCTTGGAGGGTCCAGACCCCCTCCCTTTTATTACGAAATCTGGAGTACGTGTGTATGTCTGCATTTGCGTGCGCACACCGTTCTGCCAAGACTCTGGTGTGGTGTGCCTTCCTGACCTGTTGGCATATATATATATATATACATATATATGTATATACATATATATATATATATATGTGTTGCTGCTGAGGTTTTCTAGTCTGTGTGCCTGTGTCCCCCCAGCAGCTCCCATCTCGCTCAGTGGAGCGGATACCGAGGTGGTGGCAGCGGGCGTTGCCACCGCCATGGGCAAGAAACACAGCGTGAACGGCGTATCTCGCGCCGCGCAGGCGGCACCCATCCCGCCCCCCAGTCGTCTTGCATCCCGCCATCAATCTCTTGTCTTTGCCCCCTTCCTGCGAAGAAGAGACAACCGCCTAAACGTAAATGTTCGACGGTCCCGCGGACCGTCGAAAGTTTATGTTTATGCCGTCTCATCTTGCTCTTATTCTCGGCCTACAGTGCGGGCGCGGCCGCAAGAAACCCTCGCAAGAAGCCCAACCCTGAAAACCCGCGCGCGAGGTGCACCTGAGGGAAAACATGGAGCACCCTGAACGCAGCAGCTTCTCTGACGGCCGCGGGAAGTCACCGCGCAGCGCGAAGAAACCCAGGGTACCCTGACGAGAAATAAATGGTTTCTTGATGCGCGCCGCCACGGTACTTCCCTTGTCGCCCCTGTCCTGCTATCATGTGCTCGATCGAGGCCCCTCTGGGTAGACGCGGCCACCCAGCCCTGGCACACAGAGCCCGTGGGAGACCCCAGAGGACCTCCGAAGACCGCCGAAGCTCTGCGCAGACCCCCGAGGAGCGCCGAAGACCGGCGAAGGCCGCCGAGGATCGATTGGTAAGCAAGTGCCCATGGTCCAACATGTAACGTCTCGGGGGCGGCCAAGAGGGGAGTGATGACTAGGCAGGGTGCGTTTCGCTTCCTCCGGTTCGATTCAATTCGACATCGATGGGTTCCGATTCCGATTCTGATTCGATTCGGTTTGGGATTCCGATTTGGGCTCCGATATCTTATTGGAGGCATAGTGGCCTGCCGATTTCCGCCAATGCGACTTCTTCCGTCTCGGTGGCCGATTTCCGCCGATCCGATTCATGTTGATCGCCGATCCGACTTGTCGATTCGATTCTGGGCTCTCCTGCTAGG